ATCGCCACTCGGGAGATAAAGGCAGCCGAGCGTGGTACTGGCCACCCACCCCCTCGTGCGCCGTGCTGGCCTGCAAAGGTGCTCGCTAACAGTACTTGCCCCTAAAGTCTGTCGAGGCTATACGGGGGATCCTTGGCTTTGCTGTTATCGATAGTGCTTCTAAATGATGGTGGCGCTGGTGCTCGCATCGAATGAAGCTGCTCAGTCGGCCCGTTTCGTGAATTTCTGACGATGTGTTGTGTACACGGCCGATTCTCCGGGGTCACCGTGTAATTGGCTCGCTCTTTTATGCCAAGACAAATCACGAGACGTTTAGCAACAAATGCAAGCCTCTTGCCAAAAGTGGCGCATTGTCTCCATCCCGCTCCCAAACGTCAATGTAAACATTTTTGGGGTTTTCTTTTAGGCTTGCAGAGAGTTGCCGTATTTCCAGGCTATAAGACGCTCCTTAAACTCATGTTTCACCACCAAACGCGTGTGTCCGGTTCAAAATTTGGATACCCACACCGACCGGGCGCACACCCAACTTTGCTTTGGAATACCGGGGGTGGGGGGGCATCTTATATTATCCAGAAAATACTTTCGTTATTTTACTTGTTACGGGCAAGTGGTGAAGCAGTGTCGGAGCAATTTCGTCCAATGCTAGAGGCCGAGCACGTGCTATTATAGCAGTGGTGACACAGACGGTGGCACAGCACACAGTTGGCATCGCTGTTTGTAAATATTGCTCGGTTTAGTATCGGTCCATTGCCATTGTCTTACAACATTGTCAATGTTATAAACGTCGCGGCGATCACGAGTCTTGAAGAGTTATTCATATCTACGGCCGCACGAAAGATTTTGGACGCAGCGGGAACTGCCTGTTTGCGATCTCGCAACATCGCATCCCCATGTCACAGTGTTCAACGGAGATGGTTTTAGAGGAGACACGGCTCTGTGATCCTCCCATAAAAAACAACTGTAGTGCCATTCACTGTAAGCATTGTGTGTATATATATCCAATGCAGTGTGTAGCATATTCCGCTTCTGAGAATCGGAATACTTAAGTGTGAGAATACTTTACCTGAAAGGTATACTTCGTGCGTTCGCTGCGTTATTAACAGTACAGTATTTTTTAGACTCGAAGATGAAGCCAGCCCCCCCCCCCCCCCTCTATTTTTGAACCTTTTACAGTCAATCGATGGCTGAATGCTGTTTCAAATGACGCGTGCACCTTGTGGGTTTAATCATTCTCGCTACAATTCACGCGGCGGAGGCCCCGCGCGGCATAGCTAGTTCAGTTTTCTCGCTCGTGTGATGCCATCATCGTTGAAAATATGACGAGGTGTAACTCTGCAAAGTGTGTATTTATTGTCAAAAGATGTTTTATCGCAGAATTGTTTTCAACGCTGAGTTAAAAATTCTTCGACATCTTGGCCATTGACAAAATTTGAGGCGCGGGCCTTTTTGAACGGGTCATAAAATGATGCGATGTACTTTTCTTTATTTTTTACGAGAAGTGCCCCGAAGTTGTCCAGTGCCCTATGAGGGTCAAAGTGAAGCATCCAATCTTTGTTTGCGAACGGAAGTGTGAATCGCAATGTCTTCTTTTGAGCAACATTCCCCCGAAACGCGCACACTTTGCGCATTCTACAGGAGTTAACTGCACGCAGACGCACTCAAGAGGCGCGTGTGCGCATGAATTCGGTTTCATAGCAAGGAAAATAACCTCGGAAAATGGTCTCTTAAACTGGGAAATCATACATGGCTACTAACATCATTACGGTCCATATTTTGATTGGAAGGAGGCCATTATTAACGTGGATTGCAGAGGGTCGTGGTACTTTGAGGACAAATTAAATGTGCTTTATTAAGGCGACGATGTTGCGTAGGTAATTCAGTCAAGCTATTTACGTGCCGTGTTGAAATTTGGAGCACTTTCCTTCGGAGATATGTCAGGCCCTGTATTATTAATATAGAACAGTATAATATAAATGTAGACGCAATAGACTGCTGTGGCTGAGGGCCTGTTTACAAAGACCCTCCCCCTGCTGTTTGTCAGATGAAGAGTGACTTTATGTGCATCTTCGGGTGTGAATTGTGAAAGGATACGCATTGCATTTTGTTTTTGTAAACTTGCCAATTTCTATGAATACCTTGCACCTTCGCCATCAGCTTCAAAATGCAAGCATTTAAAATGTGTAGGGCCAAATGTTCAAGTATTGAAAACTGTGAACAGAAGTTTGGAGGTGTCTGGTTCCTGGGGAGGGAGACGACTTATAATTCTGCACTGCTGATAAACGTGTCCCTATTTAACAGCGCTCGGGAAACTTAACGTTACTGTTTTTGATTTTTGAAAGTAAACAATGTTGTGTGTGCACCTCCCATTAAGAGTTTTGCTTTCCTGAAATTTCTATAACTTGTATACTACCAGCTTATAAACGGAAATCTGTTTCTATGAAAAGTTTCAATGAAAATGCCCAATTCATTTCTATGTCCAAATATACTTTTGTTCACTTCCGAGTGTTGGCCATACGAGTGAATGGTTGTTTGTAGAAACGTTTAATTTGCTACTATATTACTTACTAGCTTTACTTACCCGGCTTCGCCCGGGACTTGGATTCACCACACCCGGCCGCCTTTATCTCCCCAGTGGCGATGTTCACACACCACACCAGTTACTCGTTTGAGGCTGAGTCGACCTAGGGGAGGCTCAGGACCAGTTCAAATAATCGTCACCGGTGGTGGCCGGGAGGGTAGCGCTGCGCGCGAATCGCTACGCAGTTGAAGAGCGCCTTAGACCTGCAACACATTTGTATTTCACTTTGCCCGCGATCAGCAGGCACACTCCGTTACGCTTTCCGCACACGGGTCACATGACAGATGTGACGTCACAGTTCACTTGCCGTGCAAAATATATGCATTATTGGGCCCCCCCAAAAAAAATACAAAAGTGTATTTTTATAATTTTTGCATGGTGTACAGTCTGGGAAGTACCCACATGGCAAATTTCAAGTTTGTTGCATGTCGGGAAGTACGCTAAACATTTTGAACAGACAATCACAAATTTCCATTTTATATTTCTAGATTAGGAAGAGGAAAATGTTTTTTCATTGCACTATTGCAATTAGTACAGGTTTGCGAATACATGCATAACGTATGAGTGTTGCGGTTCCTTTCATTTTGAAGTCATCATTTACGTGTATTCAATCAAGAGTCCGATATGTAGTTTTGTTTTCATTATTTCGTTTTGAAGCCATGCTTTAAACTGATGGTTTAATTCGGGAATCTCAGGCGGTCAACGTGACCTTGTTTTCGTGACTGCAAGGATCCATACGCTTTGGTTCTTTCGGTAAAGTCACGTAGGTGAAAATAAAAACATAATAAAAAAAGAATAAAATAGAAATAACTAAATTAAATCACGACGTTTCGGAAGCAACACAAGCTTCCGTCATCAGGTGGGACAACCGCAGCAAAAAACTAAATTACAGCTCTCTTTGCCCACTACAGTAATTTTTGATGACGGAAGCTTGTGTTGCTTCCGAAACGTCGTGATTTAATTTAGTTATTTCTATTTTATTCTTTATTTTTATTTTCACCTACGTGACTTTACCGAAAGAACCAAAGAGTATGTCTAGAATTAAGGTGCCTGAAATACACTGTGCTATTATATACACACACACATTCTAATCGGAAACGTGGTTATTTACGAATCCAAAATAGAAAAACAGAACAGTGCACATTTAAGCAATGGGAGACGCACATCCGATTAGCACCGTTGGCTTCGTACGGTGCGAAACAAGTACAACAAACATTAGAATTGCATTCGGAGACAAACGCGCGTGGGTTGGAGAACACACACAGGCTAATGTCATGCCTAAAACCGTTCTGAAAAGTTGGCTCTCCGGAACACTACGCTGAAAGGATTGATGGCCGACTATAAAGAATAGTAACAGGGACAGCCAAGCGATGGAACTGATGGTACATCCAGAGGGGATGAAATTGGCTCGTGTGCAGTTGCTCGATAGATAACTGCATCACAGAGAACGCGAGAAATGCTGGCGGCTTGGGGAGGCCCTTAATCCAACGGTGGATTGATCACATGGCCGATGATGAAAATACTCTTCAATGAAACTTGGCATTCATTGAACACGTGGAGTTTCTGCGGCCAACGTGTATGATTCATAATTGTTGTTTTGAGTCGGATTTGGGTGAGCACAATACAACCTGTGTTGTCACTCCCTCTTCCACCCGACGGCCGAAAATATAGTCACGTGAACACATTGTTTCAGCACACCGGCATGTTAGAGTAATCTAAACACTTCATAGTTTCATTTTGTGTAGCGTCATTCAAGATAATTGCGCGCTGTACACTATTGTACATACGGGTCAAATCAAATGTATGGCCAATTTGGTTAAACACATTCCTGCGGAGGGAGCTGGTAGGAACGTTGGGTTGCTCGGTCAATGGCCAGGGTCAACGGCGGCGTGGTGTATTCCGCAAATATGCCCGACTGTGAGGGCGGGCACAAGCCGGCGTGAGTAGGTTAAACGTTGAGTTTTATAAGGGCACCACGGGGTGACCAGCCCCTCCCCACCCAGCCCCACCCCTCCCACCCAGCCCCTCCCCTCCCCACCCAGCCCCACTCCTCCCATTTTTGGATGCACGACGGACGGACACAATCCTCTGTGGGCTGGTGGAACCAGGTGGTTCCTCCCAGTAAAACATGCCAGTGGTGAAGCAATAAAACATTGGCGTGTCTGTTCACACGTTAACTTCCAACTTCTTGGCGTTGGGGGTGGGATCACGACGCACCTTACAATTGGGCTTCAGCAGTTCGACCCAAAAACTAATTGATTCATAAAAACGGCATCGGTCGAAAGAATGCTTTTCTTTGGACAGTCGCATTCTCTCAACTCGTTTGAGTTGGTGGTTCTAAACGACAAGATGGCCACACAGCGCCCCACGAAACGTCGTATCGCCTGCAATTCGCCCCCTACCTCTGAAAGCCAAGGACGGCTCATCCTGGATCGTGCTCGGGTGAGTCATGACTGCCCTGCACATAACAGGGGTGTCGCAGGATGCCCGAATTGCCAGCAGAGAGCAATATAAGAAAAAAAAACTAAATCCATAGTCCCTTGCCTTCACCTTCCCGCATTGAACCAGCGTGGCGAAAACTGACCGAATGATCACCACGAGGACGTCATCCAGCAGTTGATTGACAGAAGAGCTGAACGTCCACGTTATAATTTTAATAAGGATGGATCATGGTATATTCCGACACACTGATTCGTATACTGCGCTAATAAACACCCGATTTCGGTAGAATGCAGCTTATACTCGGTACACAATGCTAGAATGCAATTTATACTCCATACACATTGGTAGAATACGGCTTATTCTTAGTACACTTTGGTCGTTGTCCCAAATGTTTATCAAACGCATGCCAACAACGGTGGCATGGCGCAGCTTTTTGCATGTTCATTGGATAGGTCACATGAGTCATCTAGTCATTAAACCCCCTCACCCACACCCCACTCATTTCGTGCCCTTTGTCACGAGGGAGACCGCATGCGGAGGGCTTCGCAATTCTCACATGAATTAATTTAAAATAATTGTTATGCAACCCTTTTTTTTGTGCGCTCCAGTAATTGTTACATAAATGTGGTGATACTGCGTTTGGCGGTGGTGCACAAGCATCTAACAAGAATACAGCTCAACACATCTGTCAATAACTGTGGCCTTAATACATATATAATACTGGTAGGAACCCACTGGTTCCACCAGCCCACAGGGGATTATTGTGTCCGTCCGTCGTGCAGGGAGGGGCTGGGTGGGGCGGGAGGGGCTGGATGGGGAGGGTGGGGAGGGGCTGGGTGGGGAGGGTAGGGCTGGGTGAGGAGGGTGGGGAGGGGCTGGGTGGGGAGGGTGGGGGCTGGGTGGGGAGGGGCTGGTCACCCCGTGGTGCCCTTATAAAACTCAACGTTTAACCTACTCACGCCGGCTTGTACCCACCCTCACAGTCGGGCATATTTGCGGAATACACCACGCCGCCGTTGACCCTGGCCATTGACCGAGCAACCCAACGTTCCTACCAGCTCCCTCCGCAGGAATGTGTTAGGTGACGTTTCGAGTCCTTTTCAGAGCAAACGTGAATGCATTATTCCTCAATTAAATAACCGAGCATGACATTCATAGTGCGGTTGCAAGTTCCGTGCCTTCCAGCTATAACACACGTGTGCAATCAACAAATCTGAGTGACGAGAACCATCAATGTCAGTGGTATGCCGAATAATTGGAGGCCGCAATTCCCATACGTTTCGAACAAATATCCCCCGTATAGCCTGTAACAGACTGTTGGGGGCAAGTGCTGTTAGCGAGCACTTGTTAAGGCCGGTACGGCACACGAGGGGGGTGGTGGCCAGCACCACGCCCGGCCGCCTTTGTCTCCCTCAGTGGAAATGTTTACACACCGCACCAGGTACTCATTTGAGGCTGAGTCGACCTAGGGGAGGCCCCAGGACCTGGTTCAGATAATCGTCACTGGTGTTGGCCGTGAGCGGGAATCCAACTCGGGTCGCCAGATTCGTAGTGCAGCGTAGCGCTAACCGCTACCCCCACCGCTCCCCATACAACAAAACACACAGCCACGTGTCAGACAGACTCAATGTGTGACACGTGTCACATACTCAATGTGTGACAAAACACAGGTATTGTGCATAAGCAAAGCGTCTTCACGGCAGCGAGAGCCCTCATTCTACTATGATGCGGGGGTTTTAACAGACGTTCACAGATTTGATAATTATTGCTAAAATTGTTATCGATGATCCAGTGTTGTGGAAGCCGGCCGATGGTTGTGCTTGTATGGAATCGAATGTTGCTGAAAGGATGCACTCACAGACGACGTTGTGGCCGATGGGGTGTTGCAGGAACAACGTTTATTTTTTTTACGCGGAGAGACGGATACATCAATGATCAAAGGTAATTTTTTTTTATTGGCACTAGCCGAGCTAATGGGCCCCATAAGTTGTAAGTGTCGGTTCCACACACGGTACTGTTGGTGGTTTCCAGGAGACAGACTTTGCAGCAGTAAACACTGATGGCCGTACTACGCTGATGAATCCTAAATAAGAATGAAACGGAGTCCACAGTTGTGTATATATCTGCATCACTGCTGTCACATTTATGTTGAAGGTGACCACCTGAGACGACTGGGACCACAAATGCTGTTCTTCAGGAACTGCTGATGGGTTTTCACACCTATCAACCCATTATCAGTGCCCTACAATATTACAGACCAACTCAGACCCTATTGATCACCCCGTGCCCGTATAAATCTCAAAGTTCATCCTATAAAGTCCCATCACAAGGGAGAATCACAAACAAATTAATTTTTGCCCGCATTGAAACGGCTGTACGCCCTATGGACCTGAAAACTCAAGTTCCCTACACAAGAATACGGAGTAAACCGCATGGGTTGACCGCTCTGCTATATATCTATGTATCTCTATGGGTCTCTATGTATCTCTGTCGGTCTCTAGGGATATCTATGGGTCTGTCGATAATACATCATGTCAACCCCGTATCAGTGCCTAACTTATTACGGACTAATTCCGGCCCTATTGGTCACCCCGTGCCATTTATAAATCTCTACGTTCATCCTACAAAGTCCCATCACAAGGGAGAATCACAAATTAATAGACAATTTCACTATTTTTTGCCCGTTTTGAAACGGCTGTGCGCCGTATGGACCTGAAAACTCAATTTCCCTGTACAAGAATACGGCTAAACCGCATGGATTGACGCGGTATGGGTTTGTTGTTTTGCATGGTGCACGAAGGCTGGTGTTGCTTTTATACACGTTGTTGTGCATAAAGGGCCGTCCATAAATGACGTCACGCACCTGGGGGGGGGGGGTCAGACATTTGTGACGATGTGTGACGAGGGGGGGGGGGGGTAAGAAATGTGACGTCACATCACAAATGCGCAACTTTAAATAAATATAGACAACACGTTCTACTTAATTAAATATACTTTTTAATAAATGTTTTCTCATAACAACATCAGAGTGCAGCGCCACATTAAATACGCACTACAATGATTGAAGCATGTTTTATTTTCAAAATGGAAATATGGTTTTCGGGGGGGGGGGGGGGAGCAGAGCTTTGTGACGTCATATTTGAGGGGGGGGGGTCTGACTTTTTGTGGACGCCGTGTGACGAGGTGGGGGGGGGTCAAAAATCGTCCAAAATCGCGTGACGTCATTTATGGACGCCCCTAAACGCCTGCTGGACATCGGCGAAAAATAACTTTACAATTCACCGTATTCCTCAATACTCTTTGTTTTTTTTCGGTAAAGTCACGTGGGTATAAAATAAAAATCACGACGTTTCGGGCGCAAAACAAGCGTCCATCATCAGGTGGGAAAAGCATGGTCTGCTGCTGAGGCAGACTGTTTAAGAAGAATAAGAAAATGCAATAATTTATTATTTGCACGTTGCGTTCCAAACGCAGCGTGTGGGCCCAGCGCGGTGACGTCACGTCAAGGCCGGGGACTATTTCCTCTCCGCGGACTAACACACGGAGGGAGGGGGGGGGGAGGGACTTTGCCTCTCGCGCGGTGATGCGGCCGCGCCGGCAGCTCGCCTCACTCAACTCACTCCGCGCCTTCGGTTCCCGGCACGCGAAAAAGGTTGGTGGTGAAATTCGATTTAAATGTTTTTAAACATTTTTTTTTTTAGTCGTTTAAAAACCTGCCCCGTTTGTAAGCGATGCGTGTTCGAGTATGCGCCCGCCTCGCGTTGTGATTTGTTTTAATAGGCTGCTCAAAAGAACTAAACAAAAACTTTTTTTTTGACAGTGTGTTGAACGCGTTTGTATTTGCTAGAGCGGATGGGCGCCGCGCGGCTTATGCGTGTTACGAAATACAATTGCGTGCGTCACCGCTGCTGTGATGTGGCCGTGGTTATTGAGGAGCGGTGGCGCAGCGGTTAGCGCGCTGGGCCACTCATCCGGACACACAAAGGCCACGAGTTCGATATTCCCACTCGGGGACACGCCGACGCTAGTGGCGATCATCAGAACCGTTCCTCTAGGTTCCACTCGGCCTCAAATTCGTGCTTTGTGCGATGTGAAATCGTCAGCACTGGGGGAGACAAAGGCGGTCGGGCGTGGTGCTGGTCACCCATCCGGCTGTAATAGGTGTTCGCTACCAGCACTTGCCCCAGCAGTCTGGTGAAGGCTATCAGGGGGACCTTTAGTCTTTTACGTGGCTTGTGAACCGCTGAGATAAGTTTATAAAAGTGTGGACGATTTGCCCCTTTTTAAGTTAAACATGCGATGCGTGTGCTGCCGTGAAGGGTCATTGCCCGAAACGTCGCCTTAATACAAGGATGAAAGGGTCAACAATCTCAAGGGGCTGGTCATAAATGACGTCACGCACCTAGGGGAGGGGGGGGTCAGACATTTGTGACGATGTGTGACGAGGGGGGGGGGGTGAGAAATGTGACGTCACATCAAAATGTGCAACTTTAAATATATATAGAATTTCGATTTAAAACTTTCGTGACTGCAGGGATTCATCTTCTTGGTTCTTTCGGTAAAGTCACGTAGA